TGAATCAGCAGAAAAAAGAAAGGTGGTTTGTTGTGGTATTTTTCAACGCAGTTGGCCAAGAAGATAATGAGGTTTCTAAGACTCCTAATTAGTCGTGGGGAGGAAGTATGAGAAGAGACATGCTTGTGCTTGTGGCACCTGGGCAGTGGATTCCAGTTTTCTCCTCAGGCCATTAAAATTTGTGAATTTTTTGCAACACCGCGTTTTTTGGATGGGCTGCAGTCAATGACATCCTCCTCCCAAGAGTGCGCTCCAGGCCGGTCCTGTGCTGCGCACGACAGTGCACGCCACGGCCTCTCGCAGGGCTTTCTTCTCTTGTCTCTGCTCCTTTCCTCGTGTGTTAATACCTGGGCATGAAGTGATTAATCCTGGTTTTCCTCGTGGCACTGAGATCATGGACAGGCAGCAAAGTACACAGGAGCTCTTTCGCGTTCGATGTGTTTGCCCATTGGGAGCAGTCCATCCCAAAATGATCAACGCTGCTCGGGCTCTGATACTGACTGGTGCCAAAAGAACACCCAAAAAAACGTACCACACGAATGAGGTACCTGCCAGCGTTTATTTCCCAAAAGTAAATTGGCAAGCATCTTCGAAAATGGAACGTGTTCACAGACATTGTGAGTTATTCCTTCAATACCTCCAAAGAGGCAAAAGGTTTAAAAGAAATTGCATTATTGGTTGTAAATTCCTTGGCTGTGTTACAAGTAAGTGACTGAAGTGATGGGTTTAATTTGGAAGTTGTGGAGCTCAGCAGGGTTGATTCTTCCCGCTGCCTTCCCCTTCTCTCCCTGGTGCTGGGTCTCAGCCCTGCGGAGGGCACGGATGGTCGCTGGGTGATAGAAATTCTGCAGGATACCAGTTTTTGGTCTGGCAGTGCAGGCAATTACATTGTCAAAAATCTGAGATTTCTTCTAGATCCTTTCACAAAGCTTTATTTTTTTCATCTGCCTTGTCCAAGTGGCACTAAATTAAATAAATGTGAAAATATGAATAGCCAGGAGATGCCAAGGCCCAGCTCCATGGCGGCTGAAAGAGGTCCAGCTTCACTGATTCCAGTGGCAGCAGCAGATTTATTCCCGTATCAGTAAGGGATGAACTGGTGCGACATAACTTCTGTTTATCACAGCAGTTTTCCTCTATGAAAGCAGAAGTAGATGGAGAAAAATCAGCTCTCTGTTTTGAGGCTTTGCTGGGGTGATAATATGGCTAATGTTTTAACGAATGCAGATGGCGCTTTCTTTTGATTTAAGCTTCCTTACTTTATTTTACTGCGCCATGGATCTGCGGCATTTGGTAAATGTGAGAACTAAGCAGCTTGGTAGATAACATCTTTTTTTTTTTTTTTTTCCTCTTTAGAAGATTAAACTGAGTCTGTTCTGCCTGATGCCACAATAGATGTAACCAATCCTGTATCCTTTGCATGTAGGTCAGTCAGAGGGACAATCAAGCACTGGATCCCATTATCCATGGGTTGAAGGGCGTCGTACATCACGGTAAGTAGCTGCTTAAACTTTCCTCTTGCCGGGAAGGGGAGAAGGGCGGGAATATTGTCCTTAAGGGATCAGGTCACCCCTGGAAGGGCGCGGTGAGCCTGCACATTCCTCATTCGCTGATGTTTAAGGGCATCACAGCCATTATTTGATTGGTAAAGATCAGAGTCATTTGTTACCTGAAAATGGGTTGGGGTTAACAGTAAACAATTTGTTTCTTTTCAGTCAGTGCTCGAGAATGCGTAAGTTATCAATCAAAACCTACTCCAATACATCATTCATATTAGTACTTCGAAGGCAGCATTGATGCTTTACGCCTGCTATTTATCTTCTGTTTGCTCTAAAAATACTCCTCTCTGAAGTTTCTATTTGTTTATAAATTATTTGTCTTTCAAATTTAGGGACCTGATAATGAAACAGAAAATTAACTATCTGTGAAAATTAATTAAACTTTGCAGCAGACGAACATCTTTCTAATGCTGACATAAATACGATCATTCGGCTGTTCCGATGCATATAAACCTATTATCCTTGAGCTTATAGCAGGTAGTGAAATAAATATTAATATATTTTATACTTTTATAACCAGTTTTTACTCAGGAATTTTCCTGAAACCTTATCACGGATAATGCATCATTAGCAATGACATCAAGATGCTCCAGTTCCCAAAGTACTCTTGTCAGGTTTTAATATAATGATTTGTAAAGTTTTAATAATCTCATTGTAATTCAAAAGGCATCTGCTGGAATGGTGCTAGGTACGACAATAAATCTCCGTCCATCTATACTGCTGTGATAAAACATCTTTGCACCTTTTCCGAGGATTGTCTTTAGACATTAGCTAGTGCTGTGGAGCTTAACAAACATTTTTTTTTCTCTTGACTGCAAACCTAAAACTAGTTGACAGTCTTAGGTTAACACGAATAGGATTTTGGATTAATTGCTCTACTTTCAGAGTCATTTAACATTGCAACCAGGAGCACCTATAAATCCAGAGTAAGTGAAGAATAGGGGTTAAATGATAACATACCATATAAAGTCCTTCATTTTGGGAATTTTCCATCGGCTTTGCTGTTTATAAATTACAGTGTTCTGCTGTGAAATAAAAACAACACACTGAGCTGAAAAACTGTGGTGTTTTCCACAAAACTAGATGTTATTATCTAGCTCCCACTGGGTAACAGAAAAGGCTAGCAAAAGTACAGCGAAGACGAGTTGGGTTGCAAGGTTTTTTTGGTGGCTGTGTAATTGGATGCTGAAGTCAAGCTGCCGTTTAACTGGACCGGGATCTCTTTTTACCTTAATTTTCCACCTGCCTTCTACTTAGAATCATAGAATCATAGAATGGTTTGGGTTGGAAGGGACCTTAAAGATCATCTAGTTCCAACCCCCCTGCCATGGGCAGGGACACCTTGCACTAGACCAGGTTGCTCTAAGCCACATCCAACCTGGCCTTGAAGACATCCAGGGATGGGGCATCCACAACATCTCTGGGCAACCTGTTCCAGTGCCTCACCACCCTCTCTGTGAAGAATTTCTTCCCGATATCTAATCTAAACCTCCCTGATTTCAATTTGTACCCATTACCCCTTGTCCTATCACTACAGGCTCTTGTAAAAAGTCCTTCAAGGCTCTCTACCCCCTGCGAGCGCGGCGGTGTCTTAGCCCTCTCATCGGGGGGGTTTCCTGCTCCCTCTCTTGCTCCTCACTGCTGCAGCCGCAATAGCCACCAGTGGATAATCATACCAGTGTCTCCTAAGAGTATTATTCCATTCCCAAAAATAATTGTTTGGGTAGGATGTGACACGGTCCCGAGGCTGTGATTCCCTGACCACATAATGGTTAGTCCGTCTTGGTGCTGCCTACCCGCAGCAAAATCTGGGTGGATAAAAGGGTTATTTTTGGTTTGCTCACAATGCACAGAAGGCTGCTGGTGTTTCAAGTCAAGGAAATCGCTTGATATATTTCAATAGCTTGTTTCCTTTTCAAAACACTAAGGAAGAAAAAAAGGAAAATCTTGCTTTCCTTCCTGTTTCAAAGGCCCTGATTAAAAGCCTTTGCTAAGGTTCTTTAGGTGGCTAGAGTAAGGGAATTTCCTCCTACAAAGTGGTTGTTCAAAGAAATTGTTCTCTTTAACTTAAAATACTGACGGAACGCTTCAGTGAAGAATTCTCATATCATATCTCTCTTTTAATGTTATTATATAGAATAATACTAAAGATGTGAGCTTTTATTCCAGACACTCTCATTTCCTTTCTGGATGTAATTTACTTACATCTTACATGAGCACATTTTTATGAATTTATCTGAAAAGGTTCTTCCTGCCCTCCGTTTGGCTGCATTCGACTGGGACCCTAAGGCAACATGGACTTTTTGGCTGCAATACAGTGGAAAACTCTTGTGGTTTTTGGATAAAGTGGTTGGATCAAGCAGGAATCCAACAACAGAAGCTGGAGAAAGGCAAAATTGAAACCTTAAGTTTCTTTGCATTGCATAAGATTTCCATGCCTGTGTTGTTCCTCAGCGGTCATCGCAGTATCAGTGACCCTCAGTTACATGTGGGGATGGTACTGATGAGTCGTGAGCTGGTTTTTTGTTTTTCTTGCATAGCCTTTTCTTTTTTTCTGTGAAGTTCTTGTATTCTGACAGTGCCCTTCCAGAGGTAAGTGGACAGTTGATGTGTCAGAAGGTCTTTTCTGTGGAAGTGAAAGCAATTTTTGCTTGAGATTTTGTCAGGGATTTGAATTACGTACTAATTTGATGGAACATAAATAATTATGCCCTTCACAGTGTCACCAGCTTAGTAACAATGATAGAGAAACGCGCACATGAAAATCAATACAGGCTCAGTCGCTACTCAGAGTTCACTTCGTTTCCTCATCTCCAGGCATAATTTTGTAGAATCTTAACGCCACGTTAAGCTTAATCTTACATGAGCAACCGCATAAAGTTTCTTAGCTGGAAGGCAAACCAGCGATGTACCAAACCGCCTAGCAGTGTTTGGATCAATGATCGTGCTTTCGGCTTTGCCCCACATCTTTTGCCGAACAGTACGTTCCCATCACGTCGATGCTCCCCAGCTCCCGCATCCGCCCTCGCAGAGCATTGTAAAGGCACACGAACGCCGAGGAGGCTCTTTTCAGAGCTGTCAGCTGCCTGTTGCTGATTTTAAAATTGCTTTTGGTTTTGTGCTCTGCCAAGGATTTGTCACACCTCCCGCCAGCGAGGTGCCTGCTATTCTCACTCCTGCTTTCCCTGCCGCGAAGCGCACGGCGAGCGTGCGTCTGCCGCAGAGCTCGCCAGGGACTGACAGCTGGGAGCGTGCAGCCCTCTCTGCAGAAGGGAGGGCGTACGGACAGCTGTGATACCAGTTTTCTGATGCCGACGTGCTGGTGTCTTTCAGCTCTGACTTTTGGGGATCTTTTTTACCTCCTCTCGAAAAGCTTTTCTCATCGCGAAAGCTGATGGGAAAGGTCTCCAGCAGTGCTGGTGCCGGTGGGCTGATGCACATCCTTAGTTGAAGTTGGATCATTCGGTTAAATAATAAAGTCCCTAGTGCCTGGCACCACTTGCACCACATGTGCTGTAAATCAGACTTTTCTGCCTCTGCTTTGCTGCGGATGTGCTCGGCTGGGTGCCCTGCCCTGAGCCCCTCTCTGCTCCTCGTCCTTGCAATGCTGAGGAGCACGGAGCGGGTTGGAGCTGCTCTTGTGCAAGGGCTGAGGAGGATCCAGGGGCTTTAGAGAGAATGATTGTGCTCCTCTGGGAATAGGGGAATGTGAAATACCAGGTTATGTCTTATGGAGTTGATTTGCATTAAAATGGCTACTAAAGCTTTTGTCTGCCCCCAGCTTCAGCACGATCTCA